CCTAATTATTCTGGAACTATTCGGTCAAATCTTGATCACAGTTGATACATGAATTCGGTGTATAATTCATCTTCGTTCATTTTGTTTCTTTTTTATCTTCTTTCTTTTCAAACTCCTAACTTCAAAATGTGCTTTATACATATTCTAAGTGGCTTACCTCTATGAACAGTGCTCCCAGTTCCTGGAGCTCACAGTTTTAATGATAGTCATTTCTGAGTGACATTCATCACTTAACGTTTTCAAGTTACGTGGTACTAAATTTCATAATTCATTCAACTTTCCTTCCCGAAAAGTAATTTCGCTTGTTTCGCTACCAACCGATATAAATAAATCACCTCTATTGGTATCTCTATTACCTTTTAGAACAGTATATGATGATATTAGATTGTTGGAGGCAATCGGCCACAGGAAGCCTTGGACCTTGGTTTCGTGCTAGTTGGCACTCATCAGCAAGGCGTATCTGCAACCTTGAAGGAACTGATGTCCCTTCTGAGATTCGAACCCGCGTCACCCAGTGCTGCAGTCAGAGACGTTATCACTGAGCTATTCAGGCTCGCGACTGACCTCCTGTAGGACTGTATTGGATATTTTTGATTGCACACTATTCAGTGTGTGCAATCAAAAATATCCGAGTCTAAGTTATATATGTCCAAAGCAAGTTCACTTTTAACAGTTGGAAAAAATTTGGGCATTGAGTATACGATATTCATTATAATAAAGGTTTTTTGTATTTCCCAACGAAAGGAAAACAAAACGATATTGTTTTTACTGATGTTTCGCTATTTCATGCTGCTAATAGCTTTATCAAAGTATTATCAAACCAGAATTTACAAAATCCACTCAGCTTATATATAACAATTTAATCATCGTTCGTCAGTATGGGGTCATTTTTCGTTGTCAAGTTGGCCAATTGGAAAAGATAACAAAACCAGGTGTACATTGTTGGATTTGATAAGTGTGGACAACCTTGTCTATACAAAAGACCAAATCCCTAAAGATTCTCTATCTAATTTTGTCCATAAAATAAAATGCTTGGAATGTGATGCGATATACATCGGACAAACATCGCGAGAAGTCAAAATCAGGAGAAATAAACACCACAGAGCATCTGTTCAACTACCGAGAAATCCAGTTGAACTAGCAAGCCTTGAAAATCATCAGGCCACAAAATTGATCTTGACAATATTGAAATAATCCAGAAGTATTTCAGAAACGACAAAGAACGTCTAGTATGAGAAGCACCTGATATCAAATGGAATCCAAATTACCGAATTAGGAATAATGGACTAAAACAGAATTTGACCTGGTTACTACACTTCCCTCCCCATGAAATGACAAAATCAACACGAATGTGATAAGCAATTTCATTATGTAAATACATGTTGCTTTTATAATTTTACACACTTATCAAATCCAATTGGCCAACTTGATAACGAAAAATGACACTATGCTGAGGAACGATGATTAAATTTGTTATATATGTGCTGAGATTTTATAAATTCTGGTTTAGTAGTACTTTGATAAGGCTATTAACATTAAATAGAGAAACGTCAGTAAAAACAATATCGTTTTGTTGTTCATTCATTTGGAAATTTCAAGAAAGCTTTATTATAATGAATATCCCGGTCTAACATTCATCTCATGCAAGCCCGAAATGATTATATTGTTTGGTCACCTAGGCCTAGCCAATGTCATTCGTCTGGCTCTTAGTGTTTGTGTTGCCTGAATTCTGTCATTCAAGCTTGTAATGTGATCATAAAGCTAAGCAAATTACTATTGCGGTAAACTTTATGAATTTATTTAGGAAGGAGGAATTCATCAGGAATCTCTTCAGAAAGGCTTGCCTACAACCTTGAAGGAACTGATGTCCACTCTGAGATTCGAACTTGTGTCAGTCAATGCAGAATTCAAAGACGTTATCACTGAGGTATTCATACCGATAGAAATATTTGCTGACAGAAGGATTTCTACATTCTGCAATAATGAAGTCACCGTTCTGTTCGCATTTATGTTTCACTAACATCAGATTACATTCACTTTTTTAATGTATCCCTTCGCATTCCCAGTGGAATATAGAGCCTTAAGGCTTGAAGCTTCAGTAGCATTGGTGTTTATTCTTACGAAGTGGGGTTGTTAGCCTCTCTCCCGGAATCTCCTCTCTTTACCGGGCTCATTAGTGTCTAAGCGAGGTTTAGGAGTGCGCTAGCCGGCGATCGAATTCCTGACGACGTGAGGCATGGTTGGCGAATGTTCTATTAATCAACCACTGATGCACGCAAATTACATTAAACTAAAATTTTAATTCGCTGTAAAAATGTCCTCTTCTAAAAGACACCCGATTAGCTATAGAAACTTAAAGTGAGAAAAATCTAAGTTCGATGAGTAATAGAGTCAAATGCGTTAGCAAGAGTCGGAATTTATCCCCACTTCCTAGGAAGTACAAATGAATACTGAACTTGAGAAGAATCGCTGACGGTATGGTATCCTTTTCTGTTAACAGTGTGCATTGAAAATTCACTGAGTTTTATTTAAATGACTATGAAAATAGCTTGTGATCAACAAGCTTTTATATTTTGCAAAAACTGTTTAGGTTGATAGGAACACAGGTGCGTAGGTAGTTCAGTGGTAGGACGCTCGTCAACCATTCATGTGGTCTGGGGTTCAATTCACGGCTGACTCACTCCTAAAGCTCGCTAATCCACTAGTAATCCCGGTAAAGAAGGAAGGTTGAGAGTGAGGCTAGCAACTCCACCCCGTAAAAATAAAACCACTGCTACAGGTACTTTAAATCTGTAGCGTGTAGACCTGTGTCCCACTGGGGACGTAAAGGAATAAAAGAAAATAAAAAATAATAGGGAAACTGAGCTTGTACAGACGTGGTGATCATGAGTATCGCCTGCCTACTTCAACATCGTATACAACAGCTACTTGATTCCCCACCGCCCGCTACTTAGGACAGAACAGTCCACGAGGTGAGACGGAAAGTGAAAGTATATTTATAAAAGGAACAATGATATATATATATACATACGGCCAGTGACGTAGGTGTGGGAAAGGATAATCCACAGGTTGTCTGTCTAGCTATTTATGAGACAACTGACTCATCCACTTTCCAGATAACCTATCCATCCACATATCACAAACACTGAACATTATCAATAAAAGTAACTTTACAGATAAATCTTCTTGATAATGGCTTAAATCATACAAACTCTAAAATACTATCTTACTTACTTCCTAGAAGTTTTATTTCTTCACTGATTGTCTTCAAAAAGATAAAGATGTTTGGAACTCTTCAACAACGCGTAACCATCAGACCTTCGGGGAAACGGATCTAAGATGATGAGATTTTGTGGTGGTGGTAGTGATCAACTGACTATCCATCTATTGAGTCAGAATCGAAAACTTTTAAGATTCCCAACTTCTACCGATTCCTGATATAAGGCTTTCGGAAGGTGATCTGATCTGGTTGACAGGTAGGAAGTGACAGATTCGTGCTTAGCTGTAGTAAACATGGCGTGTAAAGACTTATGACGAATCCTAAAAGTCAATTTATCGAAAGCGTACATGGAAAGGACAATACTTACATTTCAGTAGCTTTTGTCCAAATAGCTTTAAACGCAGTCTAGTCAAGACTCTGTACTATAGAGCGAGAAGAATATGCTCTATAGAGAGATTAGAGGAAGAATTTGAGTTTCTTGAAAAGCAATGGGTACCCTCAAAGGTTCATCAACAAGTATGGAAGATCTGAAGTCACAAATGAAAAACAAATCACGGTAAGAAAAAAGCCAATCTACTTTGAGCTTGATTATAAGGGTGAAAACATTGCAGCGATGATCAACAGAAGGCTGAGTACATCACTAGCCATAGCCTATCCTGCAGCTAAGCTCGTTCCCGTCTATCGAACAACTTGCTCTCTGGTGCAATCAAAAATCGATAGATATCCTTCTCATGTGAACTCCAACTGTATATACAAATTTACATGTATCTACGGGAGCAATTACATTGGAAGGACAGAAAGAAGAGCATATCTACGATTTTCTGAACATGTACCGAAAAGCTTACGTCTAAAGGGAACAAATTCTTTAAACAGTGCCATCGCTAGGCATCTCCTCGACGCGGATCATGAGGTGGATATCGAGAAATCCTTTAAGATTATCAATAGACAAAGGAGCTCCATTCTCTTCAAGTTCGCTGAAGCAATTTCTATCAAACGCTTCAAACCAGATTTATGTGTTCAGAAAGAAGCAGTTGTTAGTCTTTCCTTGCCATGGTAACTGGATGTCTTTATTCTCCACTCTGATTACTTAATCTTTGTCTTTAACCTCACCCTTCTTTTTTATAATCTGTAATATTGCTTGTCTCTTGTTTCTATGACGTGATTTGAACTCAGTACATCGTTACCAAATTTATTAGTTACTCATCATCTTACTCACCTCTCGTCTTTATTGCGTAACTCCTTTACCATTGCATGCATACATCTATTTTGTTTAAACTTGAACTGCCTGTGTAAAAACTATATAAACACAATTTTCTGAACACTTTTCACTAATTGTGGAACTTTCTGTCAACTGACAACATGTAAAATTTGCAAGTATGTTAAACCTTCTCTGTACGTAAACCTCACAATTTATTTAGGCTGTAGGCAGCAGCTGATGAGTAGCCAACGAAATAAATGATGGTGCCATATTATTCTGCAAAAACCACTGTTGTTCTTGCTTTATTTAAATTCATCAAGGGGAATAAATGCATCAATCCTAAAATAGACAGGTTGAAACAACTATCCTTTTCTCTGTGAGTATTTCCGGTGGTTAACATGACTTACTTTGAAGTCACTAAAACATTTACACACTTATCACTTCTTCTAAGTTTTCTCATGACTAAAGATCTCATCAATAAAATAAAGATGGTTGTTGACAGTCAAAACGGTATGATTTTGTTTGCTATTTGAACTGTTTATTATAAATTTTATGCATATTTACAGTTATTGCATAATCATCTCATTTGCAATGTTGATTTTCCCACCACCATGATGTTAAATTTAGCGCGTGTTGTTCCTCATGTTCCTTATACCAATTATAAATTTCTCGCCAATTAAATTGTCTTTGATCACCTAAGCAAAAAAGAAATAAGAAGGAGATACGAAGGAAAAATACCAGACATTCCTATGGTCATGTCTATTTTTAATCTTACTATCCGTTATAAATTAATTATAAATTATAAACTTGGAGGATCTTGACTTCGCCGATGATATATGTCTGATTTCCCACAAACTGGGAGATATGCAAGTGAAAAGCAACAAGTTGGCAGAAGAAGCATCCAGAGAAGGAAGGACTTCAGGTGAACATAGAGAAGACAGAGGTGATGAAGATTCCTGGGCAACACCACCAACAGCAACAACAACAACAACTGACAACAATCAGCATAAATGGAAGGAACCTGAAAGAAACAACCTCTTTTACCTACCTACCTAGGAAGCATCGTTTCAACTACAGGCTGACGGAACTGACGAGGATATCAAAGCAAGAATCGGAAAAGCAAGACAAGCTTTCACTACTCTCAAGTCTGTGTGGACATCAACAACACTCAGCATCAAAAATAAGATCAGGATTTTCAACTCCAATGTGAAGTCAGTCAGTGCTACTCACTATACGGATCAGAGACTTGCACTGCGCGTCATAGAGAGCATCTCAAACAAACTACAGACCTTCATTAACAGTTGTCTTCGCTCAATACTCAAGATCAGATGGCTGACCAGAAAAGATCAGCAACAGGGATCTCTGGCAATGAGCGAACCAACTCAGCAGGAACCGATTGTGAAAAAAATAGGCAGGAAGAAATGGAGATGGATTGGCTGGCCATACTCTGAGGAAACCATCAAGTGACATCACACGACATCCCATCGCTCGAGTGGAACCCGAAAGGGAAGCGGCGAGTTGGTCGTCAGTGCAAAGATGGGGTGACTTGGAGGAGGTGATGTGAAGAGGAGATGAAAGCGTGTGGGCAGACCTGGAGTCAGGTGAAGACTCTAACAGAGAACCGAACGCAATGGAGACTTGTGGCTGAAGCCCTATGTTCCTCTAGCAATTAAAGGATACAATAATAATAATAATGATCCGTTATGAATAGGTAAAGTGTAGCGATTAAATTATTCAGTGACTGAAATTTCCGTGATGAAAATAAAAAATAGCTGAAGGTAGAAGGCAAAACCTGAATACCAAAAATAATTCGAACCTGTAACCTCTGAACATCTACTCCAAGCTTCATCATCAGCTAGATTGTAAAACCCTGTTGATGACTAATTCTCTGTTAAATTCCTTACTATCATATGAATCCGGGATACATTAATTTAATATGGATTTCATCAACAACTGATATCAGTTAGAGAACCATTGGAAAACCAACAGGGAGTAATGGCCTGCGAATTTGTCCGAGTTTAGGACTCTCTGACAGTAAGCACTCACGACTCCACAATGCAATGCAATGAGTCCTGCTGGATTGAATCCGAGTTTATGGGCAAGCTTGGTGGAACACTGATACCAAGAGATGTACAAAACAAAAAGGAACATGATGATGCCCATAAAGAGCATTCATGGAGGGCTCACATTACTTCTTGATTCTTTCAGAAGGAAAGAATACAGAAATACAGTATGTCCACCACTGATTACCTTTCGCAGCTACATCTTATATTGTCTCCAGCAACTGATTCGGATTATCTCTCGCACTCAACACAACCTTCTTCTTCATGCCATTACATGACTTCGTAGACTGATCACTTCTCCAGTTCTTTGACTTAGTCCCAGGGCTAGCTAACAGCCGCGCATAAGCCGGTACTAATGGACTTAACCCTAACTCACTTCAGAGACTCAGGGATTGACTTGCTACCAGAGAATAATCTCGTCGACTTAGAATATGCAGACGATATAGTCCTTCTAGGTGAGGACGCTGACAAAATGCAGAGTCTTCTGAACACCTTGAGCAACAATCTTCGTATGTTTGGCATGCGATTCGCCCCTGTAAAATGTAAGATGATGTTGCAGGATTGGACTACACCGACTCCTAGATTAGAAATAGGAAGTGAAGTGGTAGAGCACGTTGACCGCTTCACTTACTTGGGAAGTACCATCAGCCCCAACGGGTTGATCTCTGACGAAATCTCAGCACAGATACAGAGGGCTAGTTTCGCATATGCCAGTTTACGCCGTCTCTGGCGTAGACGTGATATCCGACTATCGACCAAAGGGCGTGTGTACTGCTCAACAGTCCGCTCCGTCCTCCTTTATGGCTGTGAGACCTGGCCATTGAGAGTGGAAGACATGAAAAGATTAGCTGTCTTCGATCATAGGTGTCTGCGTTCTATCTCCCGTGTTAGGTGGTGGTATAATAAGGTGAGCAATACTGAGGTTAGGCATCGAGTGCTAGGTAAAGAGGGGAAATCAGTCGACGAGACTGTGAAATTACATCGACTGAGATGGTTAGGACATGTGTTACGTATGCCTAGTCATCGCCTTCCTCAACGGGCAATGTTAGCTGATATAGGGTCAGGCTGGAAAAGAGCTAGCGGCGGTCAAACCAAAACATGGCACCAGTCAATGAAATCTACAACAGTTAGTTTAAGCCAGCCACGTAGGAAGGTGTAGACTGGCTTCCTGGTTGGGGTCCTCGGGACGGTAAAACCAATGGTTGGAAACAATTGGTGACATGGCTCAAAATCGTTCTCAATGGCTGGCGCAGATGCATCCACTCCTTGTGACTTATGATTTCCAATGAAACTGTTTTGTTCTTCGTTATTACTATACCTTTGTCTCACACCTCTGTTTACTGTCTATATTATGCATTTCTCCTACTTTCTTCTCTTGCTTTGTGTGCTGAGTGTGGCGACTTGAACTGCCGCACATATGTGCAAAGTTCTATGTCGAAAACAGACAGACATAAGCCGGTGTCCCAAGCCGATGTTACTTAATGAAAGATGATTTCCACCATATCCAAACAACGCCTTCAGATTTCATCACCATATGTAAGCAAGTTTACATAGGCAGTAAAGATTAAACTTGCAGAGTTGCCGCACACCTTCAGCTCAGACAAGTCAGGCTACATATACCAAAAACAATGTCACGGTCCAGTCAGATATGACCTAGGTTTGCGTATGCCACTCCGGCTTTCTCTATATAAGATTTTGGAAAGTTCGTCATCCATTTCACCTCTGTCAGTGTTCACACAACTACTTCTTATATGTATGCGAACTTCTTGCCTACTTCTAACGCTTCAATGTGTAAGTATGATTGCAGACAGAGACTCCTGTCAAATTGACGATATTACTTTGAACCTAAGAGAAACAAGGCAGACATTAATTTTATGAACTGATTAAACTGAAGAAAATGATAATAATAATAATAATAACATACCACTTTCATGATAACTTTCATAAGTTTTACCACACCAACCACATGGTTGTATATTATAATATCCATTAAGGGTATAATCTTTTCCTCTTGGTTGCTTTAAGCCTCTCTTACCAATATATGTACAGTGAGTAGTTAATAAGTGTACTTGTAGACGACACTGGGCATATAAACACTGCAGGGAATCATATGGTTTTAGAAGAAATCGTTTCCAACAAAGTATACATGTGGTTGTCGTAAAATCTAACTCATTCATTGACAGTGAATCTATTTGTTGAATTCGACCAGTTTGTATAGCTAATTCATAATTATTCTGCAACTGTTTCATATGTTTAGCACGTATTAAATGTTTATTATAGCTTAAACTAGTTTTTTTACAAGTTGATGTAAAATCTACTACTGAAATGTGATTATCAGTAGTATTAGTATTTGAATGATTTAAACAGCATATTTGACAATTACCTAACAGTGAATCAATTTGACTAACACCAGCATGATAACAGACTATATGAGCTTGTAGCATTGCATTACTAGTTATTCGATGGCATAATTGATTTTCTTTATTTAATGCATTTAAAGTGTCATCATTAGATGATATCATCAACTGACACATTGGACATGAATATATCCAATCATATTCTGTATTCTGTCTATTCAAATATTGTAATTTTAACCAGCTGAATAATTCAATCTGTGGTAAATGATATTCATCTATGTGTATTTCTAAATTTTGTAAACCTTCACGAAATAGTAGAGAATCTGAAGATCTCGGTCGATTATTATTATTATTATTCTTGCAATAATTGTCATCATCTGACTCAGATGATGATGTTGACATTTCAGATGATTGATCTGCTAGACAGTTTTTTGCTTTGGATTCCTTATTGCTATAAGATTTTTTTATAGGTTGTTCTGAAGGTGAGTCTTTCCAAAATTCACTTTCATCAGTATAATCCTCGAAAGTTGGTCGGTTAAATATCCCGCATTCTGCGCATGTTCCAGGTTTTCGTCTCACTGAATGTCTACATAAGATATGCAAGACTAAGTGTAGTTTAGACCAAAATCTTTGACATGTTTCATATAATTTTAATGGAGATTTAGTTACACTCAATGACTTCTGAGGACAGTTTCTAATTCGACTAACATTTCTAATAGATTTCTTACTGGAATAACAACAAAATAAGCATATAAATGGTAAGCCATAGAGTATTGAATCTTTAGGGAATACAATTGTTGTTAAATGTGCAACTTTTTGTTGTATACACCAATGTTGATTTACATCACCTTGGTGACAGAGTTTTCTTGTCTGCCATTGTTTACCACATCGACGACAAATAAAGTATAAATTATCCTTTTCATATATATCATCATCATCCCCCATGTTTTTAGTGTTCAATTTATCAATTGTCATTTTTGTTCGATGTTCAATGATCAATAAATGCGCGTATAACAAAGCACTATTTAAACAATTCATTCCACATAAACGACATATAAAATTATTTGAATTCATTTCATCATATAATGTATCAGTTGATGTATTCATCATTTCATTCGGCTTTTTGCCTTTTTTTCTTACTTTTTTATGTAAAAGTTTTTTAGATTTGACTACTTTTTGTTGTTGCTGTTGCTGTTGAGAGGACTTTTGTTTATTTGAATTAATTTTTGGTAAATTTACTGTTTTATCTAGAGCAGATGAAAGTTTCGTATTGTTATAATTATTATTATCATTTATTGGTGGATAGGGTGGACGTAATTGACACGGGGGAAATCTACACATGCGTTTTTCATCACTATCAGCATCATTATTATTACATAATTCTTGTTTATACGAACTTCCCATGTTTTAGGAAATGTAGACTTCGTTTTTTTCTCAACTTTTTAGTTTACTTTTCATTCTTTTTTTATTTTTTAAATAAATTTTCATAAACAGTTGACAGAATTAAGATTACCTTCGTATTATGTATGCTTCAGATACCTTGAAATATTGACAATATTTTTAAAAATCAGATCGATTTTGTGTACTAGTCACATTACTGAATTCTGTTTGTATGAGTATTTATTAATATTATTATATTATTATTTTTATTGTTCCCTTGGGTTCCTAGTGGAACATAGGGCTTCAAATGCACGTCTCCCTTTGCTTCTGTCTTCTGCTGTACTTTTCACCTGCATCCATGTTAATCCATACTGTTTCAGCTCCTCTTCACACCATCTCCTCCATGTCACCCTTGCACCGACGAACCACTCGCCGCTTCCCTTTCGAGTTCCACTCGAGCTATGGCCTGACGCGCGATGTCACCCAACGGCCTCCTCAGCGAGTGTCCAATCCATCTCCACTTTCTCCTGCATATTTGTTCTTTGGCGATTGGTTCTCGTTTTGTTTGTCCACATAGTTTCTTGTTGGCTTTTGTTCTTTCCGGCCATCTGATCTTCAGTGTAGAACGAAGATAGTTGTTGATAAATGTCTGCAACAGGCTGTTGGAAATATTCTTTGTGACATACTGGCCAAGTTTCTGATCCATATAGAAGAACTGACTGACTTGACGTTTGTATTGAAAATCCGAATTTTGTTGTTGATGCAGGCTGAGTGATGAAGATTTCCAGATTGGTTTCAGGTTGATGAATGTGTTTCTCGCCTTCCTGATTCTCGATTTGACATCCTCGTTCGTTCTTCCAACAGTTGAGACAATTATCTCTAGATAAGTGAATGAAGTAACCTCTTTCAAATTCCTCCCGTTGATGGTGATTGGCGCTGGATGTTGCTGCAGCTGTTGTTGTTGTTGTTGGTTGGTTGGTTATTTTCATAACCTCCGTCTTGTCTATGTTCACCTGGAATCCTGTCTTCTCTGGCTGCTTCTTCGACCATTTTGTCGGTTTTCGCTTGTAAGTCTTCGATTTTGTGTGACATCAAACATAAATCATCCACATTTGAAATCCAGGTCTTCTAGGTTGTTCACGTCGGTCCAGGATATCCCTGTCTTCTCGTTTCCCACTGTCTCACGCATAATCCAGTCCACCACAATTAGGAATATCATTGGTGATAATAAGTACCCTTGTCTGACTCCTGTGTTTGCTGCAAACGCCTCACTGAGTTTCTTGTTGTGGATCACTTGACATGTACCGTTGTCGTACAGCTGTTGATGTTAGAATGAATGTATATTCAACCATGCATAGTGATTTGACAGAAGAATGCTCGGCAAATACGTATGAAGTCTGGGGTTTGACCCATAGTCCGACTCAGTCCTATACCTCAACTAACTGGTAGCAAGTTTGAGAAGAAAGGAGGTTGAGTGTGAAGTGAAGCGACCTTTTTAAAAACTACAACACCACTGCTGCTGAAGCTTCAAAGTCTTAAGCCTAAAAGTCTATGTTGAACGCAGAAGGCAAGGAATTGAAAAAGTATATTAACCTAGATGATTTACATCTCATGTCATATCAGCTAGTAGATATGCAAGCGAAAAACAACAACTTGGTAGAATACACTTCGGAGATGAGACTTCTGATGAACATACAGAAGACAGAAATGATTAAGACACCCAACCAAAAACAAGAACAACAAGAATAGGTCACCACCGACTGGAGACATATAAAGAAAGTCAAATCTTTCACCAAACAGATATGAGCAACATCATTCCAGCTACAGACAGAGTCAGAGATAAGGATGCTGAAGCTAAACAGGATAAAGAGAGCGGGACATCTGTTCACTACTCAGCACTCAACACAAAGAGCAGTACCCGAATTTTCAACACTAATGTAAAGTCAATGCTCGTATATGGTTCAGTGACTTGGCGTGTACATCACCAAAGGTATTTCTAACAGCCTGTTGCAGACTTTCATTAACATCTGCCTTCACTCAACACTGAAGGAAGGATAATCAATAAAGAATTCTGTAAATAAGGCGAACCACCAAGCTAACATGTGGGAGGCAATAGAGATGGGGGACCGTTGAGTGACATCACATGCCACGACCTCTAATGAAATCGAAATGCGAAACGATCCACTGGGCATGGGTTTGTGGGTAATATGGAGGAAATCGTGTGAGGAGTAAGTGAAAGCTTTTAACACGCAGGTAGGTTCATCTAAAAAGTACAACAGAGGACCCTGAAGTCCTATATCCAACTCTAGACGCAAAATTTAGTTTGAAATGAAATGAAAAAGAAAATCGAAATAATTCAAAAGACAATTAAAGTGATAAGATAGAAAAATAATGTTACTTATAAGATTGCATTTAGATGTGTGTGTTTAGTGGTTTAATGCAGTTATCGCAAGCCTCTGAGCCCAGGTTCTGTGTTTATTGGTAGCCATAAGAAAGGCACAGGTGTAGCTGATTGATGTTACCCAGTGCTAAAAGCAGAGATATTATCATCAAGCAATTGGGTGCTTCAGGATTGTTTAAAGCATTGAGTTATGTAATCTCTTTCCCCTCAAAGATTTTATCCTAGTGATTTATGCCTTTTCAAAATCTATATAGGAACTTTATTATTATTATTATAAGCATTAGTATGCTATTTCATCGCTATTAGACACAATCTTTAATTGTTAGCCATCAAGAACCTGTTTGCGAACCCCTGAAAGCAACAAATCAGGTCTGTTATATCAGCCTAATTTTATCTAATCGTGATCACCACTAATTTGCAGTAACAAGCATTTTATGTTCCTACTCTTTGTAAAGCCTAAACTCGTATTGGCTGCTGACTGTTTAAATACTGTTAGAGTCATTTACAACATCTCCATCAATCGTTTTGACTGTAGTTTTTGAGACAGTAAAAACTCTGTTGTCAGCGCTTTGTCTTCTCCCTTCTTCCCAAGTATCACTGGTACTGTTCTTATTGTTATTTTTGATGTTTCGACTAGCACCTAGGGTAGTTAGTGCGTCAGTGGCACAGTGGTAGAATGCTCGCCGACCATGCATGTGGTCTGGGGTTCGATCCCCAGCCGGCGCATTCCTTTCCTTCGCTAAGCCAGTTATAAGACTGGCAAAGTGGGAAGGTTGGGCATAAGGCTAGCAATACCATCCCGCAAAAATAAACACCGCTGCTACCGAAACTTCAAGTCTCTAGCTTGAAGGACCCTGTGTTCCACTGGGAACGTAAAAGGAATAAAAAAAGTAGTTTTCCCTATATCATTCGTTTCGTATAGCTAACGCTCTACTAGATCCTATTACCGGTCATAACAGTATCATTAATCGAGAATGCTACTCATATATTTCGTTTACAGTTTGCTCCATGGTCCGGTTTTCTAGTTTTGTGTAAATTATGGATCAGTCATTATGCTCGCGAGAATTATTCAATATAAATAATCGTTAACACTGAAAGAGATTTGAAGCTCTCTCTCTATCTCTGTAGAGATTTCGAAATTCACTTTTGTTGAATATCATTTTATCGTTTTAATGTTCATTGCTATTATTCTCGGTTGTCCAGAGTTGTTTAGAAGAATCATGGTGATAGCTGCTGCTGTTTAATTTCTCTCTTCCTTTTTATTACCTGACAGGTATTAAATGCATCGTGTAATAGCAGCAAAGTAAAAGTTGCCAATAGGGTTCGATTGAGTACAATTCATGAATGATAACAGAGTAACCATAGAATTTTCTAACTGGATGTTCCTGTATTATATAACATTATATTAGTGTACCTACAGAACAAATTATCATTATTCCCTTGGGTTTCAGCTAGAGCATAGGACTACAGAAACATGTCAAAACATATTTCTCCCTGCTCTCTGCAGTTCTTTTTTTTCCCGACCCATAGCTGCTACCCTGACGTTGTGGTCGGGCTTGCATATCGCAATGACACAACGAGCTTTACTGGCTGGAACTTATGTTCCTGCAGGTCCTACCATTCCAGAAAGGTTGTTTGGATAGCGGTTAGACAAAAAGCAGCTACCCAATCCAATACTATGATTCAAACTAATTCACAAAATATCATGCCGGATCGGTTGGGGCCCGGATTAACAACGACCGCGCTTCCTGCTGCCGTGTCACAGGGCAGAAGTGATAAATATGCTACTGAGACACACCAAATGAAGAAGAACAATCAAAAACAGGCCGAGTGTAACCGGCCTCAAGCAGTTCTCCCCTGGGCTCTGCGGTCAGGCAACACTAACCTTTTTTTCTAATTCAGGTACCCGAAGACTCAACTAACTTCCACTGTGTGGGCAGCCGGGAAGTAACAACACCCACACACTTCTTAAAGCACACGGAGCCTACCTGAGCATCACTCTCCCTTACTCATATCACCTTCCTCATCTTGCTTCTCTACTATAGTTAGCACTATTCTTCAGGCTAGTGAGTCGTCTTCACTTCACTCTCCGACCACAAACAACGATGACAGCCATAGAAATAACCCAGATAGCCTATTAAAGCCACGTCGCCAACTTCATATAGGAGCTTTTAACGTCAGGACCCTCTGCCAAATCGAACAACAGGCATCACTAGCAAGAACTCTGGAATCTAGAGCCATGGATGTATGTTGTGTTTCGGAGACACGCACACAAGACCCGAGTGTGGTGATTCACTTGACCTCACCCGGTCAACAAGGTGAATCTGCAAAATTCACTTTAAGGGGCAATGTTAGCCGATATAAGGTCAGGCTGGAAAAGAGCTAGAGGCGGTCAAACGAAAACATGGCATCAGTCAATGAAATACACAACAGTTAGTCTAAGCCACGTAAGAAGGTGTAGACTTCCTGACTGGTTGTGGTCCTCGGGACGGTAAAAACCAATGGTTGGAAACAATTGGTGACATGGCTCAAAATCGTTCTCAATGGCTGGTGCAGATGCATCCACTCCTTGTGACTTATGATTTCCAATGAAACTGTTTTGTTCTTCGTTATTACTACTCCT